CTTTCCCTATATTCCTACAAACCATCATCACCATTTCGATAAACTCCGATGTAATATGTTATATTCAGTTTATCTTTCTCATCATCATATGATCAAAGTTAATTAATTAAGTAATTATGTGACGAGAGAAATAAAGAAAAGAACAAATATACAACACGAGTGTGATGCTGATAAAGAGATGCAATGTGTGATAGGTAAGTTTTTTCGCAGCAGCATGGTAAGTTGGTAACCATGGCTTAAATTGAACATTTATTGGACAATCAATTAATCTCTCAATCAAAACATGTAGAGTCTTTCCATTCTGAGACAAGTAAGTCATAACAAGTAGCTTGCAGCAGTCACGTGTTCCCTAACTGGCAGAAAACTGCCTAGCTGCACCATAGATGAAGTGGGCAGTATATAGGAACCGTGGAAAGTTTGCTTTCCAACAGAGCTTCTTGTTCTTTTCTTTTTTTATACAAATATATATGCCCCTTTTGGGTGTTTGTTGTTTGATTTATCACATCACATGTCCATACATTGAACATTGCATAGTATATATAATATCTGAGGATGTCTGTGTTGTCACTTATGTGTATATACAAGTTTGGTTGTGCTCCCAAAAATTTCAAAGTGATTAGAACTCTTCCACTTAATTTTGGTTGGATTATGCGGAGAATCGAATTCATGACCTGTGGAGCAAGCACAAGTTCGCCCTAACCATTCGGCTACCAAGAGTGGGTAATAATACACATTATAATGTGACTAAAAGACATAATTAATATTCATGAATTTAAAATATATTATTACTTTCCAAAATGGGCATTAGAATGCTACAATTTCTACCACTCACTCCCAGTACTGTGCACAGTGCATGTTGATATTGGTTGGTCCAAGTGTTTTTTTTTTTTTCTGGAGAAGCTTTGTGTTAACCGCGTATCCTTCTAGGGTTTAGGGTATAGCCTAAACCCTAAACCCTATCCTTCTCGTATAAGGTATAGCCTAGACTTGGATTGAGATAAGAGTTTATACCAGATCTTCCGGGTTGACATGCTCTTCATAGAAGACCTACACACTTTGAACAGCTATCAAAATAGGAGCGAACTGGGGTTGGTCCCAGTTGAACTCCCTCCGATGTTTAAGTCAGAAGTGGTTATAAGGTGGAGAGAACGGATATAGGGTTTTTAAGATGAGAATAGTTATTACCTTTGTCCAAAGATAGGTGGTATTTATAGGGGGAGATATTTATCTTCCTCCCCCCTGGTGGACCATACCACATTAAATGACCTGTTTCTGATCACCATACTATCTGGCAGGGATTGTGTGACAGAGTGACATGTGGCATTGGATGGGAGGTATATTAAATGATCCCTCTCCATCACCAGTCTATTCACTTGGGGATCAAAGGGGAAGGCGACACTTGGTCTTGGACGGCATGTACATTAATTGATCTATCTTACTTCCCAGGCTGTCTTACCAAAAGGGCAGAGTATTTGATTTGACAGGGGTCTGGTCACGCTTGTGGATCATTAATGCGCCTCTGGTTAATAATAGCACCAGAGTGGTCGGGTCGGTATTCAACTTCCCGAGCGTTAATTCGACCTTTGTCCCACCAGATCTTGCGTGGGAGGTCTTTTATCGACCTTTGAGGTTACGAAGTATGGTTGGGTTGGTAGTAAAGGTAACCCAGCCCAACTAAGGCCATGTGACGTTCTTTAATAGACTTGGCTCACAGTGATGGTATGAGGCATTAACACTTTGTGTCTTTAAGTAAGTTGATAGCTTATTATTATTTGAGTGTGTGTGTGACAGGCAGTGCTTTTTGTTAAGTTGCTTTCCATGTAGATGCTTTTCTCAAATCCAGGATAATAATAAGAATTAATTGTGGCAGTGTTGGATCGGCAAAAAGTGGAAGATCCAGATAGATTAAGTTGATACAATGTTAATTCTTTATGTCATGCTCATGCTGATACTGTGGGTCGGCGGCCATCCTGTAGTAATATTGTGCCTCGTATGTTTGTCTTGAAAAGCAGAAAAAAAAATTAGCAAGAAAATCCATCATTCTGATCTTGAATGCTTTGTATCACCGGTCCATATTTAAAAATGAATTCCAAACGAATAGAACTTGTAATGAAAGATACTAAGATGGATCAAATCTGAGCACCCCTACAGTAAAATATGTATATGTCATTGTGCACGCGGAGACTAAGTGGTGAATTTTTACTGGTCGGCTCGGCAATTAGGGTTCCTTGCCTGCCCAGTTGAACACCATGTCCAATTGGCAATTAGGGTTCTTTCTTTCTAATTTTCATTAGTCTTGAAAATGAATATAGAAGTTGAGACATCTTCTTTTGGCTCGTTGTACAAGGTGAAACCTGCAGAGGTATATATGATATAAGGTTAAGGATCTCAATTGATGTGTTTGTTCTGAGTGGTGCTTCTCAAATAAGAAATAAGAATATATAAAAGCTTCGGCCAGAGCTTTTTATTCTCAGAAAGTAGAGCTCTGAGTTAAATCGATGCTTCCAGTTCCAGTTAATATTGCACGTTTGTTAAACGGATCAATGCTTGCTAAAAGCGCTTATTTTTGTTGTCAAATTGCTAAAAGCGCTTATTAGAAGCCTGTAGAACAATGGAATCGGATAAGGTTCGGTTTAACTAAAAGCATTCCCTCTATTAATTAATTAAATTTTGCTAGTTAACAATCATTCTCTCTTGTCCGTCGTACCCTATATATTTGTTAAAAGGACATAAATTATAATACAGGTGAAAAGAGCTAAAGGAAATAGTTGATGCTAGTCTAGATATTCATCGCCGCCAAAGTAGAACATGGTTTACTTTAGTGGAAGACCGAGACGAAGACTCCAACATATTTTAATTATAGTGCTTGCAACTTTGTTTTTTGTTTTTTTGTTTTTGAAGCCTCACTATGTTGCATGCATGATCATGATCAAGACAAAGAGAGCCCAATTATATATTTCTTGTTTTTTTCATAGAACCTTTTTCAGTTGACCCTGGTAAGCTAGTCGATCGAACGAGGAAAGAAGGCCCATAAGCTCCAAACCCATTCCAACCCCCAGGACAAGTCATTTTCTTTTCTAGGCAACTTACTTGCCAATTTCGCAAGAAAACTAAAAAAAACCTTGTCAGTTTACAAGCGGCGGCTGATGTGAGTTGGGTAAACTAAACACAAGAAGTTTTGATAAATGTCGTGTAATTAAGGGTAGATTATACTTTTAATGAAGTCAATGAACATCTCATTCTAAGCAAAGCATGTGACGAAGACTGGTCCGAGAGAAAAATAAAAAACTTGACAGAGATGGGAGTGGGCAACAAAACAAGCCAAATTAGTCAGAGTCGTCGTTTGATTGATTGCCTTTTCTTCTATTGTGATTGCTAAACCACCTAATCGAAACTTCTGCACAAGGTGAGACTAACAATTCAACGGACGCATGCATTGACAAGTCTTATTCCGCACCTAACCAAAGGAAATGCTAAATTACAATTAAAAAAATTAACAAATGTAAGTTTCCATGTATGCATCTTCAGGCTATCGAGGATATACTTCCGTGATCATTGAAACCTCATCTTCTGGTGCTTTAACAACAGAGTTGCTCTTGGATCGATCTGACCCGGCTGTCCATCCTGAATTGTTTGTCCATCCCGAAGAAGACATGTCAGATCCAACGCTACTATGCCTGAAAAATGCTGGTTGTGAGGGTACTGGAAGAGTGACAGAGTAACTATTCAGCATTAGAACAATAGAAGCCATGGTTGGCCTATCAGCTATATTTTCTTGCACGCATAATAACCCAATGTGGATGCATCTCATTATTTCAGCTCTTGAACCAGTCCTCAATGTCGGATCTATTATATTTGAAGCTGTCCCTTCCCTCCAACTTTTCCATGCCTGCAACCATTAATTTGTAGAAATAATAGAGTTAGACATATAACTTCTTTTCTTGGTTCCATTCAATTCAATTGCAAACGCACATAAACTGCTATATATATGTACACATTTACTTACATAGCTTAGCAAATCCTCCACGTTCTCTCCACGGTGAAAGGAATTATTTTTCTGCCCACTTACTATCTCCAAAACTAACACACCAAAACTATAGACATCTGATTTAACAGAAAAGTGTCCATGCATTGCATATTCTGGAGCCATATATCCACTGCATATCAATAAAAATGTCCATATTATCATTAACATGGATGAAAAATTTGGATTAGTGATATAGCAAACCATCACAATTATAATATTATAAGCTATGTAGCCTAGTCAAGTACTTACTATGTCCCCACAATTCGACTGGTATTGCCTTGTGTTTGATCAAGCACAAATAACTTTGCCATGCCAAAATCTGATATTTTGGGGTTCATTTCTGCATCTACCAAGATGTTACTAGCCTTGAGATCACGATGGATGATTCTAAGTCGAGAATCTTCATGAAGATAAATGATCCCTCGGGTAATGCCTACTATGATTTTGTAGCGGCTATCCCAATCCAGTTGTGTGCGCTTGATTGGATCTGCATATTCATGAAAACGATTCTTTAATGTTTGTTGGAAGTCACACCAGT